CTAACATAATATTTTCCTTGAAGAATTCTCCTCTGCTATACCTGACAATACCTATCAATTGCATGTCACATTGTGCTTTCTTAAGAATTTCAATTTACTTGAGCCATATACTATCCCTATGAGATATAAATAGAATATGTGGAACTCCTACTCCCACTTGACAGATAAGCAAATTAAGTCATAGATGGGACAAATGAATCATTCCAAACTACAGTTCATTCATGGCAGAATCACAGGTACTATAAGTCAGGAGTCTGAGTCTTTGATGTAATAATTATTCCAATTCACGAAGAAATCAACTTCAAATATGTTGATGTTAATAGTGAAAGGCCGAGGTAGTAATTAAATCATCCCTCCATTAATTTTAAGGATGAAATAAGCTCTATAGTTGATCATTTTCATGGTGGCATACTAAAAACAGAAATGAATTAACTAATAAAATTGACTCATTCAAGAGACGTTTAGTTCAGTGCTTACTATGTGCTAGTCACTGTTCTAGATGCTTAGCATAGATGTATCAGTGAATCAAGCTATAAAACAGGCAAAAATTCCTGACCTCATAGAGCATACATTCTAGCAAAAGAGACAAAAATATGCAATTAATATAATGGTAATAAATATAATGGTATATATTAAAAATGCTAAAGAAGCACAAAGAAAAAATGAAACTGGGCAAAGGGGATCAGGATTGCTTATGGGTAGACAGGTTGGAGTTTCATTACGTTGGTCAGGGTTGACCTCACTGAGAAGTTGAGATCCATGGATATACCAGGGAAGAGGAGACAACGAGAGAAAAGGCTCCACAGAGCATCCCAGTGTGTTCAAAAAGTAGGAACAAAGCCAAAGTGACTGAAGCAATGCTAGCAAGAAGGAGAGTTGTGTGAGGTGAGGTTAAAGAAAGAGTGGGGAGACAAACCTTGCAGGGCCTTACAGGCCCCCACAAGAAATCCAGCTTTTATTCTGAATGAATAGGATCTGAGCAGTTGAGGGGCTTAAATTTTTAAAGGGATCTATTATTAATCATTAAATACCTTAAGAATTTTTACTCAATGTATTACATAATCTTTGCCATATAAATTAATCACAATGGACTCTCCTCCTCTCAGAATAAAATTCTATTATTCCCAGTTCCCCAAAGAAAATATCAAGGCTTGCGGCTGGGCGCGGTGGCTTACGCCTATAATCCCAGCACTTTGGGAGGCCGAGGTGGGTGGATCATGAGTTCAAGAGATCGAGACCATCCTGGTCAACATGGTGAAACCCCGTCTCTACTAAAAATACATAAAATTATCTGGGCACAGTGGCGTGTGCCTGTAATCCCAGCTACTCAGGAGGCTGAGGCAGGAGAATTGCCTGAACCCAGGAGGCGGAGGTTGTGGTGAGCCGAGATTGCGCCATTGTACTCCAGCCTGGGTAACAAGAGCGAAACTCCGTCTCAAAAAAAAAAAAAAAAAAAATCAAGGCTCAAAATGCCTACAATAAGAGGTGGTAAGTGACAGAGCCAGGTGAAGAGAACAATTTTTCTAACTCATAGTTCAAAACTGGTTCCCCTTTTCTATGTACCCATTTATATTAAAGTTATGAAGGAAAGAAAATAGTATTTGAGATTAACTAGATTGCCCATCAATTGAGATGTTCAGTTTAATATATTAAAATTGAATTAAACCCATTTTCCCCTTATTATTCATTTCTGGGAAATAATGATATAGGTTATTTCCCTGAGCTTTCTATTTGAAATTACATGTGTACCTTCAGACTAAAAATTTTGGATGCAGACGTAATCAGATAATAATTTAAACATGTAACAGTACATTTAGAAAGTTATTCAGAGTCTTTTAGTTGTCTTTTATAAGTCTTGTTTATAAGACTTCAATATCTTATAGATTGTAATTTATAAGCTGTCAGTTGCTGTGCTAAATTCATTGCATATATTGTATTTAATATTCATCAAAAAAATTAAGAATGGCATTAGAAATCCTGTTTCACAGATGACAAATATAGATCCAGAGAGGCTAAGGATTGAAAGGTCACACAACTGCTTGGCCTCAGAGCCAGGATTTTACTAAATGTCCAGTCTAAAGCAAGGTTCTCTTCATTAAGTCACACTGCTCTCCTACAGAGCAATACTCAACATACCACCTCAGCACTCCTAACTCAAAAGTCAGCCAGATATGAGTAGTCCCATTTTCCAGACAATTAACTGGTCACAGAAAAGTTAATCAAGCATCAACATTTATTTTATGAACACAATATGCAACTCAATATTTAGCTGCTGGGAAAACAGAGGATTTATTATATAATATCTTGACTCAATGAGCTTTGAATCTTAATAAGGTAACAAGAGAAACATAAAATGGTAATAAGTCACACATGATAGCACATAGGTACCAGGAGAAACAGAGTCAATGACTAGTTAAAAAAAATCAAGAGAGAAAATTTATTCTGGGTGCTTCAATTCAGTTAAAATATCTTTACTAAAAAGGACTGGTGTTAAGATGATTTTCATAGGAAAGGTAGGGTTTGGATCACCAGAGGGGATGAGGAAAAAATGATTCTAGTCAGAGGAGATCATATGACCAAAAACCAGGGGAGTAGATAAGATGAATTATCAAGAGAAAATAAATAGATGTGTTTGAAGGGCAGGAAGAGTGGGAGATGGGGTAAAGTAGCAAATGACACCAGAGAAGTAGACTGCAGAAATCCTTGTTAAATTACTAACCCAAGGGAGGAGGGAAAGAATTGATATCATTGAACTGCCAGTATGTAGCACATGCTTTGTGTACCATGTATGCTTTTTGTTTATATAAACAATTCAACATTCCGATAAGGTAGAAAGGTAAATATGTAACAGGCACTTTAAATAAAAGGAAACAGAGGTGATATGGCCAAGGCACAGCTTTGTGTGTGGATGGAGCAGAATTCCAGTCTAGATCTGTCTGCCTCCAAGGACTATGTTCCTTCCACTATCCCTCACCACCATCTACCAAAGGAAATGTGGAGCCACCAAAGGCACTTGATCAAGAGAAGAGAGCGGCATATAAAAAGGAGTATAAAGCTAAAAGAAGACTGGCCTGACTGTGAGGTATTAGCTGTGTTCAATATCAGAGGATTGAGAAAGGAAGAAAATAATGCAAGAAAGGCCATTTAGTGTATTACATTAACCCAATTAACAAAATCTATTTGAATGCAAGCATTGGAAATAAAAAGGATGCAAGATTTTAAAAGGAAATATAAAGAGATCTACTACCCAACCATACACCCGGAGGATAAATATTCCTTCTAAAAATTCAGAGATAAAGTCTGCAGTTTAGCTTGAACATTTTAATATTTGACAGTAGATGATTTATTTAAAAATAATAAAATCCATTTAGAAAAAAAATCTGCCTTAGTGCTGTCTCTTAAAATACCATTGTGAATTATGAGAGCCTTACTTCTTACTTACTAGGCTTTCTTCTCTTATACAAATTTGGCCAATAGTTCATTGCCACATATGTTAACATGGACAGTAATTCTTTATATTCATGCTTATTAGGCATATTAATTACTAATCAGATATTCTTTTCCTTTTAATTTTTCCTATTAGAAATTGAGCATATATTAAACAACTGAATTTTTCCTTCAGGATGCAATGTGTCATATATATGTGAACATTATTCCTTTCTGGGATTTAAATGTAAGATATTACTCAGGGATTCAAGTAAAAAACTAACCAATTTTTTTTTTTTTTTTTTTTTTGAGACGGAGTTTTACTCTTGTTACCCAGGCTGGAGTGCAATGGCGCGATCTCGGCTCACTGCATCCTCCGCCTTCTGGGTTCAAGCAATACTCCTGCCTCAGCCTCCTGAGTAGCTGGGACCACAGGCGTGCGCCACCATGCCCAGCTAATTTTTGTGCTTTTAGTAGAGACGGGGTTTCACCATGTTGACCAGGATGGTCTCGATCTCTTGACCCCGTGATCTACCCGCCTCGGCCTCCCAAAGTGCTGGGATTATAGGCGTGAGCCACCGTGCCCTGCCACTAATCAAATTTAAATGGCATATTATTGAACCAGCCTGGTCTCTCCCGAGTTTTTTCCTACCCGTGGACAATCCAAACCATACACACAAAATTTATATTTTTAGAGGAATTATTTGCATAAATACTCAGGCATGTAGTCAGACTAATACAAATCTTTTCCAGAAACTTAGCATTGCAAAGTCATCAAACCTGGCAATAACCAGGTAAACTATATAAATCTTCGCTTAGTGTCAACTGTTCAACTAATTTGTCTTAAATTAACTGTGAAACTAAACATCTTAATTATTATGAAACATACACGCTGTAAGTGTGGTCATTAAGATTTAACATATTAGCCAAACCCAATTTCTTTTCCCTTTTTGAATAAAAATATATATATTTATTTTTCTGAGTAAAAAATTAATGTTTAAATTTGAAATCAAATTGTGCCTTAATCCAAAAATTTAGACCTATATCTAGTGTATATCTGAAATGTTGGAAAGTTTCAAGAATGACAAACTTGTACTGTATTTTAGAAATATCACATGCATGTGTAAAGAAGTATTATAGAATTCTAAAAAGTGTATTTGTTAAAACTCAACCACTATATTCTTATACTTTTAATGTTCCTTCTGTAATCTAAACTGATATGAAAATATGATCAAATAAAGTAAATATACTACATAAGTATATCTGCTCAATAATACTAGATTTTAACATACTCTAAGTGTTAGAAAGTTAGCCATTTGAAATAAATTAACTTAAAAACTATTCATGCAGAAACTCTAGGATCCAGATGACTTTAGGCATTCTATGAAATGTTAAATACATTATGTGTGTATAAAAGGAATCACAGATAATGCTTTTTCATATATTTCTATTTTCTATGATTTTATATACACAGTGATACATTCATACATAAAATGTATTAAAATAGGAGTATTACCCTTAACTTTTAAAGGCATTATTTTATGAGAGTTTTAAAAAAAGAAAACTATTTTTACCTCCCAGTCCTGGTCTAAGCCGATTATCGTAACCATCCAGAAGTCTGTCAAGAATTCTCGTAAAGATGGTAATGTTATTTTTAGCCTCATCTTCTTGGATGTTAGCCAGCACCAACCTAAACAGATAATTTTAAAAGCTGATATATATATACATATGTGTGTTTTTCAAATGCCAGAATGCTTTTCTTCCTAAATTTAAATTTTAACACTCCCTGAGATATTAGTACCACTTGTTTTCCTCCTTTTAAAATTTCTATAAATATCAGTATGTCTGTAAAAATAGGTGAACATGAAGTTGAAATAGATTCTAAATAGTAGATTATCAGAAGTTTGGTGTTAACATTATTTGAGATTCTTACCCCTTAAACATTTTATGTGGACTATTTGTTTTCTTTCTAAATCTGTCTCCTGGGATATATTATGATCATAGATTTTCACATGCAGATACAATTAGTATTGCTATACTGAAGCTAGAAAAGTCCAACAATCAAACAGACTCTTGAAATAACTGTTTTCAATATGAATTGGAAAATAAATTGTCTTTTTGGAGGTAAATATATTTTCTATCTCTCTCATAAGTGTCTTCCTTTTTCATATGTCTTTTTCTCTTTTAAATCAGGATTTTTTCCTTACTTTGGGTATACCTCCACCCAATGGCCAAGTGCAATATAGACATCAGGGAAACTCCACTGGCTATGTGCCAGGCAAAATGTAACCAGGAGGTGGAGGTGGGCTATGAAAGCATCAGCAACACATACACAGCTGCAGAGCACCTTAGAGCCTAGTTCTTCTTCCTGATTGATTTCTGAGAAGAGCAATAAGATGAAATGTAAAGATTAAAATGCCTAGTTACATTTTTTATAATAAATTTGTAGAAAGGACAAATGGTCTTAAAATATCACCAGAAAAGGTTTAGAAAATGTGATTTTCTCCATTATTTCTCCATCATAAAGCCAAACACCTGATTTCGTGACATGCAGCCATTTGTTGCAGAAGCAACTGAATGTATAAAACAGAATGTCCCTTTTCACTGCCATTTTTTTTTTCTCAGAATGAATCAGAGATTTAAATTACTGGCCTTGAAAAGGAATCATTTATATAATAGAATAAAATACTGGCATAAGCATTACTGCTCAAATATAGAACAGGAAACTAGTTAAGATAAATATGTCTAAATACTGAGATTTTCGATGATTATTAAGTGATCATGGATTTCCATTCCTTTAAAATAAAATATTATATGTAATTACATTCTGATTAAGGTGCATTTAAATGACTACAGAGCTAGTAGCTAAAACTAGTCATGATACATCAAAAACTGGTAACCAAATTTAAACAAATATTGCCTTAAGAGCAGAGAAAATATTAAAATCTTGAAGTGAAGAGAAACATCTACAAATTAAATAAGTGCATCACTTTATACTCTCTAGCCTCAAAAGTTTCCATATTGCCGACGTAGGCTAATTGTACAACCAGTAGCTAAGATGTTCATAAAGTTCCACATAGAGATTTTCACTTAAAAGTGCTTTTTAATCATATTTTATATTTTCTTTCTCAAATCAATATGTAGATGTTAAATTAGTAGATATTTTCCAAATGACAACAAGGCTTTATAAGATAGATGGCCTCTCAATTCTAAGAAATGTTTTCATACTTTGACCATCACTTGGACAATAAAATAAAAAGTTAAAAGAGAAGTAAATGTGTAATAAAGACATTTCTTTTTTAAAAAAATTAGTGGTTACAGGAATATTCTTATAAAACTTGTATTTTATGTATTCTGGTATTTTGAAAATCATATCCTAAAGGCATTAAAGAAAAGGTGCCCACTGATGATGAAAAGCAGGAGAGACTGCAACTAAGATGAAGTTACTGAAAGCAATAGAAATTAATTTCATGTTTTTAGAGCATAGGAAAAAGAAAATTTATTATATATTTTAAATAAGTACTCCTTCTGACTCTAAGTATTTGAGGCAAAAAGGATTATAATAATGCAAAAAGTTTATGGTTAGTAAATCTAGCTTTTGTTTTATTGTTTGTGATTGTGAAGTTGTATACTACCTCCACCTAGAGGTTTAAGACTCACACATCATTGGAGTTTTCTATGATGACTAAAGGAGCCATACCATTAAAAAAAAGAAAAGAAAAAGGAAAAAAATTAAGTTAACACTCAAATCACTTAGCCGGTACTTTTCTGTCAGCTTTGAAGGGAAACTTGGCTTCCTTACTGAATCCTGGTGTTAAATTCTAAGTGCCTATACTAATCACTTCAATTCCTTATAGTAATATGTCATTAAAAGGATTTTCCTTTCTTCTGTGAATTTTCTGCACAGAAAATATTTCTGTTTGCTTTTGGAGCTTATCACTAAGAACAAGAAGCAGTGAAGTTTTTACAGTCTACTACTTCATAGTGCACTTTCCCCATATACCCCCTTTTTTCAGAAATAATTTTTTAAAGCACTCTAGATTCTCAAAAGCTTTGATGGCATACAAGAAACACACCTTTACCCTGAATTAACATAGTCAAATACAATAAATGTCTCACCTGGCAGGGTCCCACACCAAGAAAACAAAAAGCAGCAACTGCATGTTGTAGATGTTCAATTTTGTCTTCATCACCGTCGCTCTTTACAAAGCCATGGAAGGAAAAACAAAATACACTTAAAATCGCCTTCAGTTTCACTATCGAAGTAACCCCAAAAATATCCTTTTAGTTGGGGATTAGGGTTAAAGCTATGGAGATTACTTCCTGGATTGTGTGTAGGATTTGATAATTAGGAGATTTTTTTTTCTCTCCCCCCTTCCTCCAAACACACACATCCCACCCTTTTTCTTTCTTTTCTTTCTTTTTTCTTTTTTCTTTTTAAACCGCAAGATGACCAAGTAATCAGACTTCTGTCTGCCAGGAACGTCCCCCAGCCTCATCGTCAGCAAACACTGTTTTACGCACACATGTAATAATAACACCCTGGACTTTAAACTGACATGAGCTGGAAAGGGAATGGGTTGGAGGGGAGAGTAGGAAAGGAGAGGAGGGATGGGTACTTCACGCCACAGCCCCCTCAACCAAGACCACCTCCGCAGCCACAGCGGGAAAAGCTAGGGGCAGGCAGCCCACTTCTGCAATTATTCTTATCATTACAGTGAACTGCGGTCCTCACGTCTCCGTTTCTTCACTCCCCTTAACGAAATAAAATAATCTCCCTCCCTGCCCACCCACGGTTGCCCAAGACCGTGTCTTGGAGGCAGCCGGGTTCGGATCAAGTGCTGCGAAACGATGCGTTTGACAGCTGCTCTGGAGCCGACGATCACAATAAGAGAAGGAGCGCGAGGCTCGGGCAGCAAACAGCAGCCAGGCGGGCAGGCAGCGGTAACCACAGCGTGCAAAGTTGAAGACTCTAAAAGAGCCAGGCTAACGTGCTGCCTGCCGGGCAGGCGTCCTGGATTTTATTGTAGTCGCAAATAGGCTTCTGGGGATAAGTATCGAAATTATGTTTTAACTGCGCTGGGGAGGAGAACTGTGGGGGAATTGAGCCTCCCCGGTTTCCAGGGAGCCTCTGAAAGTGGGGTGGGGGAGATGAGGATTGCACGCGAGGCATAGACAAACGAGAAAGGGTCCCTGTCGGGACCAACGTGTGCGACCCTACCTGAAACGGCGAGCAGAATTCGCTGTGCTCTTCCTTTTGCCCTGATCTTGACGAGATAGGAAACTTGAGAGAGAGAGAGAGAGAGAGAGAGAGAGAGAGAGAGAGAGAGAGAGAGAGAGAGAGAGAGAGAGAGAAAGAGAGAGAGAGACTGCAGCAGCCGAGCGAGCGTGGAGTGATGGGCTGGTGGAAGCCAGAGCGGAGCGCGAGGAGCGGCGGCGGCGCGAGGTGTAGAAGGAGACGAAGGCGTTCGTAGTGGTGGTGATGGGCGGAGGAGGAGGAAGAGGAGGAGGGGGAAAACGGTGGCAGGAGCTGGGGCGGGGGGGAAATTGTGGGGACGCGGGCGGAGGCGCGGTGCGCGCCGGCGGTGGCGGGCACGAGCCCCGTGCCTGGAGGAGGAGGAGTCAGACCGGGTAGGAGGGCTAAGGAGGTTCCCGGGAACTCGGGGACCCCCGCACACACTCTCCCCCGCCCCGATCCCTGGTAACTGACCGTCGCCCGCCTGGCACTAGCAGCGGCGCAGACCCGGGCGGAGTCGGGCTCCTGGGTGCGCTCTGAGCGCCGCTCCCCTCGCCCACGCCGTGCCGGAGGAGCGGAGCCCACGCGCAGCCCCGGGCTGCTCCCCGAAGCTGCTTGCTGGGGCTCCCGAGAGGCCCCAAGGTTCCTGGGGAAGCTGCGGGTGGGTGTTAATGTGAAGTCGGGAATGCAAAGTGGCTGCGACGCCCTAGATCCCTGGGGCCGCGCCCAGCCACCCGTCCCCCAACATCACCCTGCTGTGGAGCGACGTGGCTGCTAAGAGGTAAAGAGGTACCGCTCCCGCTGGAGGGCTAGGGACTAATCACGCCTTCACTTAGTCATCAGCGCATCCACGCAGGACCAAGTTTAAAGCATATTGCGTGGAATTAGACAGCAGGAAGTTTCTTTGATTTCCTGAACGCTTCTGATACACCATTCATTCCTTCACACTCCTGCAATCAAGACCGATTTCCCCTCTGAGGTCTGGAGACTTCCCTTGAGCCAGTCAGTAAAGTCCATTTACAGATTACACACACATCTTGGGAAACCTCCCGCTCACTTCCAGCAATCCTTTTTCCAACCTCTTTTCACAGGCGCCCTCCCTAGCAGGTGATCAAACTCAATCAACAGCTCCAGAAAGTTTACATTACCCCGGAGCAAATAGGGACCTGCTGTGCTTCTACCATTTCTGCAACTCCTTTTCCAGGGGGAGGAAAGGAAACAAGGTTTGAGGTTTTCCCCCTTTAGGGCTTTTTGCTGGCAAAGGGACTTGGAATTCCAGTCCCATCTTACACTTTCAACATTGTGTGTTTGATCTGTCTCGTTTCTGTTCTATTTTATCTGAGGCGATAAAATCCAAACGTGCAACTTGAACAAAAAAAAAGAGAGATTTTTCTTTTTGTACTGCACATAAGAGAGAATGTTATGCACATTCTACTGAGGCAAAGCAGAGCCAGTGTTTATCTCTTGCAGAAGTTGTTATAAACGTTAGACACTTTAAAGGAAAAAGAGAGAGATAAGTATGCTGATATATTTCTGTCATTTTACATTCAGAGTCAATATGTGCCAAACACTTCAATTTTGTTAGTTATGCACCAAAAATTCAGATGTTTTTCCTAGATGGTGCAGTTTTTCTAACAGGCACTGCTAATCTACAGTAAATTTTAGCTTTGCTTTGAAGATTATGGGAAGAGTGTAAAACCTTTACATCGTAAATATTTCCAGCTGTCCTTTTTAACCTATTAATCGCCATTTTCTGGATGAGCATTTAATATGCTACAACCTAAACAAACATTTGCTGTCTTATTCAGCTTGCTCTGTGAAGAATGGAATACCACCCAGCTCTCTCCTCCATCATTAATATTCTTTTCCTGACTTGCCCATTGCAGAGTCTAATTGAAATTCACCAAGATAAAAAGCATGCCACTTAAAACCTTGCAACCAGAGAACCTAAGTGTCTTGGCATGAACAGTTCACTTGGCATGAACAGTTCACTTCCTACTGTATTTTCCCATTTTCCATTTCTATGAGTTAATCTTCAGTAAGATCTCTATCGCCTCTCTATTTATATTACTACTAAATTGTTGATATTTTGATAATGGAAGCTGAGCAGTGCATGGTTTCTTTCCATAATTACTATGCTCCAACAACATTTTTCTTTAATGAATGTCAAAATTTTTGTAAATATATTTACATGTTATTTTCATATTTACATGGTCTTCTCCTAGATTCTGATATCAAATTATAAATATTAGTTTTAATTTTTTCCATTCAACATTTATATCAATGGGAATGATTTGTTTTGAGGAATTAGCTTTTTTGATTAGCACCCTTATTAAATATGTTATTTCAATGACATATGACCCTCTTATATGACACTTCACAAAGTTCAAACTGCTTTGGATGATTTTCACCATTTTAGTTTTTTCTTTAAGTGTATGTTAGTACATCCCACAGATTTAGAAATGCATTTACAGGAGAAAGACCCACCGTAAAAACTCAATTTAAAATGTTTTATTGTAAAAGCTTGCTTTTAGTTCTCCCAAAATGTCTTACAATTTTAAATGTTGGATAGCTGTGACTTAAACTTCAAAGCACATTAAAAGAAATCGAACTAGAAAAGTTGATTGTGGGCAACAGATTTCTATTATATAGGCATATCTATACTATTATTTTGCTGTATTACTAGCCCAGACAAAATTATCTGGAAATTTGAGGATTGTCCAGCTTCCTCAAACATCTGACAAACTCAGCCAGATTTTCTCCTCTGCTCTTTGTGAGAGAGTGCAGGTTAACTGTCTGAGATCTGAGCCAGCCTGTGTGGGTCGTGACTAAGCTCTTCCTACCCACTCCTTTTGGAGCATGTCCTAAGGCAACCAATCCTGAGTAAGAATTGACAACTAATTGGTTGCCAGTAAATCCATTTCCACCCAGGCTTAGGTAGCACAAGCCTAGTTTGGAGCCTGTTCGAATTACTGACCACCAAATTAGGCTGGGGGGTGGGGTGGTCACTTGTTATATATTCCCCAGCCCCAACACTAAAATCCCTAAGAAAATTTCCACATAAAGTCCAAGAAAAAAAAAAGCTGAAGAATTGGGAGATCCTGGTTTTGTCTGATTTCTTATTAGATGATATCACACAATATTGTACAATTTTAAGATTTGTTATAAAAACTCTTCATGTTCTTGAACAGATATTTTGTACAGCTTTCATTTTTAGGACCCAACCTAGCATTACTGCTATACAGATCTACTACTTTATATGCCCTAGGGGACTGCATTAATCTTAAGTTTTCTATAGAATGACACATGTATGTAAATATATATGACATATGTATATATATAATACATCTATATTTATTGTACACATATGCATACATACATATATACAGACACGCTGATATAGCTATAGATAAATATATATCTGAACTTATAAAATAGACAAGTATTTTAATAAGAATACCATTTAAATATCACAATTCTACAAAATATATTTAATCTTACTACTATATGAATTGGATCATGGTGATTTTCACATGCTTTGAAGAGCAATATCATAATTACTTCAATAAGAATAGCCTCTCACTATATTAACCTTTTTAAACTCTCAGTACCTATTTTATATATTTGTATATATCTTAACTACATACATTCCTATGTGATTCATTCATTTGGATGAGAATGCAAATTTATGAAAAATTAGGAACTGAAACACTGATTACTCTGTTTTCAAACAATTAAATATTATCTCCTACTTTTCCCATTGAACGATTTACTGATTTCAAAATGGACCTGAAGTATAAGTCAGTTCTCATACATTCACCACTTTACCAGAAGACAAAACAAAAAAACAAAACTGGTGCAAATTTTTAGTTGACAATTTTCAAGTCAAAACCAGGACGTGGTCAAGCTCTACTTTCCCATATATTGCATTTAGGTGGAGACTTAGGCCCTAAGATTCTGAAAGAAGAAACAGCTGTAAAGTGAAAATAACTGGTTTCACAAACAAATAATTCCAAAACTATTCTTTTCTATTAATGGATCTAGGTCACATTTCATTAGAGCTAAATATATCATGTATACTAGCTTGAACAAACCATGCACATTACCTTCTTCAAATATAATTAGTAACTGTTTGTAAAGTAATTTTACAAATTCTCATCCAACTTGCAAATAGAATATATCAAGCATTCAGGATATTCTGGTGGTTTCTGAGATTTTAAAAAATATTTACATCATGACACACACAAGAATTATTTGTAAGAAAACTATTTTGCCTTCCTTTTGTAAAATTATAGGTTAAATTTATTTTTAGGTTAACGAATTGCTTCTTAAAACAAAGATAAAACTCTGGCAATTCAAACCAAAAATTCCCTCCTTGAAAACTATGCATGTTAATGAATTATAAGCAGCTACATGATCAGCAGCTTTGCCTGTGAGATATGTCCTTTAAATAACATTCATAGTAATGACAATAATAAAAGGAAACCTGTAATGTCTTCATTCGTATAGCAGCTTAGATCCCATTCTAAAAGCTTTGTATTAACAAATTTAATCTTCAAAAGTAAGAAGTTATTATTATTTCTATTTCACTGATAAGAAAGTTTAGACACAGAAACATTAAGCTGACTCAAGTTCTCACAGTGGTGATGGAAAGAGTAGAGCCCCAACAATATGGTTTCAGAGTTTCCATAACTACTATGCTATTTGTAATAACACCTCATCATGTGCAATTATTCAACAACAATAATAACAACAAGGAAATCAGAAAACAGAGGGAGTCCAGCACCTAATTTGAACCCATTTGTAAACACCTCAGGTGGGATAAGATTTGTCCAACTGAAGGATTATTCCAATTCATTATTTATAGCATCAAAACTCTTGCATCTTGAGAGGAAAAGAGAGAACATGTAGTGAAAAAATAAATGAAAAATATAATCAGGCTATGGGCATTTTATGGTCAGAGCAACATGAAAGAGAAAATAGAAACCAATTATTTCTAAGAAAATGTGAATGATGCTATGGCAAATTAATTATGGATATCAAATGATTTTAAATATAGATCTCTTTGGTAGAGACTTTTTGTATCTGAGAGAGTGGCTTTCTCATAGATGTCCAATAAATAATTGCTGATCTTTGTAAAGTTAAGCACTTTGGAATACAAATTGGGAGTCTTAGTTACAGAGTTAATAATGGCCTGACCTTGGACAGTCTTAGCTATGACATATGCCATTAACTCTTAAAGCTCTGTCTCTAACTGTACATCACTGACCATCAGTGCTTAGATACCTTTTTTCCTCAAAGATTATCTCTTCTGGTGTTCTCTATCTTATCACCTTTCCTCAACCAAAATCCTGAAAACTGGGAGATGTTCATTCTAGACTCTTTCAACACCCTGCCAGTACCATACACACACAGACACACACACACACACACATTTACTATTGCTAAGAAAGTAATATCTACCTCCTATCTACCCATTATCTGAACAATTCTATTCATTACCAATTCCATAGCCTTACGTCTATCCTTACTTGGACTACTGCAATACTAATAAATGGTAGCCTACTAATTAGTTTCTCTGACTCTGGTTTCTATTCACTTCAAAATATCTTCCATTGGAGCAACAAAAATATTTCTAAAACTGATTTTGATAGTGTCATTCAGTCATCCAAAATGTTTCCTTGAGAATAGTATAAGGTCCAACTACTCTTCTGTATATCACATCTGACTTCAGTTTATAGCTTACGTATATCTCCAGCCTCAACTCTGCTCCCTCTGCAC